GGTCGTATTAACGATTTCAAAATGTTAATGAATGATTTCTTAAGCAAAAAGATATTGTGAACTGGTAATAGAGTCTATTGCTGTAAGCCTAGATAGGATGCGGATAGTGCATCCTCGGGGGCACGAAACTCGGTCCGGGTAGGCGAGGCACTTGGTTAGGTAAGTAATTTGTACTAATTACTTGCTGAAGCCTGTAAAACAGTTATTTACAGTTACTTTTCCTTTGAGAAAAAGGATGTGAGGTTCCGGCTGTTCTGTCGGGACTGAATGTCTTATTTTATTTACTTATTTATTTATGTATTCGCTCGCACATTTATTGTAATGTTATTCCAAATTATATCATACTGGGCCTTTCACTCACGTTTTATGTTTTAAATGTATTAAACCCCTCCCAGGAGATTCTAAGAGTGGTGCACAGTAGCTGGATATTTGCTACGGAGTAGCTGAGTTGTGCTGCTGTTGGAATCAAGTGAGGATCGTGGACATCCTCTTGGACAAATGTAAGGAATTTGAGAAATTCTGTAAACTTATATAATATTTGGATTTACTAGACTGTGGTTGATGTCTGTTGTAATGATTATTTACATGAACATGTATGTACGATATTGTATGTCCTGTGGGGTGGAGCCCTGTGTGTCAGAGGCTCCGGGATTCTGTAGTAATGAAATTATATTTTAATGCAGTCAAGTGTGGGGCCCGGTCTGGGAATCTGCTTTATTAATCCCTAATCGAGCTCCACGTCACCCACCCTGTTTGGGGGGCGTGGCAAAAACATTCATCGAAAAAATGGTCCCTGAGCGTTAGCCGCCCGTCGCCGGTGCCAACCATAATCTATCTTTTATACATAAATATACTATAATCTTTCTATTTTTAAAAAATATACTATAATTTATTATTTTTAAAAAAAATAGAGGTTTAAGGGGAAGAAGAGAGGTGGAAAATGAGGTTTAAGGGTATTTTTTGATTTTTAATAATATTGGATACTTAGAATATTAAATTATGTTGTAAGCTTCTATTTTAAAAAAATATGCTATAATTTACTAAACATCATACCAAATATTCTATTTCTCCCTTTAAATTATGCTTGCAATTATTGATATTTCAAAATTTTCAAAATTATTTTTCCATAAAATTTTCTTATAACCTTTATAACCGCAAAATCTTTAACAATGAGTGATAAAAAAGGAAGCAACCCAACTATATATATATATATATATATATATATATATTCTTTTTTTTTTTTTTGCTTAATGATGACAAGTATGGTTTTAGTTTAACAAATCTTACACCAAATTCACATTACACATTGCATACGTGGAATGAAAACAAATAGCAAGGTTTAATAGGAGGATTTAAACTACGGTGATTTGAATATTTGGGTTTGAAGTATGTGGGTTTTTGATTTGTGGGATTTGAATTTAGGGTTTAAACCATAAATTTTTGAATTTGAACCAAGTGTGGTTTGAATTTGGAGTTTAAACCGATCAAAACTAAGTGGACGGGTGGTTTTATTTTTTGGGGTTGAGCATGATCAAAATATCATATTAAGATTCAAATCCTGAATTTTTTCTTTTTATGGAGATTCTCTGGTACGCCTGGCTTATCGATATACCATGTTTTTTAAAACATTAGATCTACGTATTTTTTAACTTTTATGTGATTTTATACAGATCATACATGCATAAAACTTGCTTACCGGTATGGTAGCGTACTAGAAAAAGTCATTTTTAAAAAACTAAACACTGATTTTGTTGGATTGATTCAAATAACCTCTTTTTTTTCAAATAAAAATTAATTTAAACCTAAACTATGATTCAAACATTGAAAATTCTCATGCTAAACAAACCCTGAATGTCCTTGACAATGTGCTGTGCTATTCAAATTTTGCGTTGTGCCACTCAAAATTTCTGCCTTTAGTTCTCTCATCTTGCTTCTAAAATTGTTTGATTTTCAAATTTGTAAATTTTGATGAATAAGAAAGAAAAAAGTGTATCGAGATTTCTAAGATTTACATATCATTATCTAGGTTCAAGCTTAAAATAATTATATATGATAAAAACCAACGTAAAATAGCATAAAAATAAAAATTAATATTATTCATGAAATATTTTTTTGTGTGCTATAAACCATAATTACACCGCCACATGAATGGTAACACTAACACTAACCTTTCGTCTCACATTATAATTTGGGCGGCGGGTGCTACTATTATTTTGTTAAATAAAAGTTACATTTTACTATTAAAAAAATTAGAAAAGTGAACATTTAAATAGCACTTGGGAAAGAAAGATGGAAATGGTTGGTTAAAGTTTGGTCAATAAATAAATATCCAAAGCAATGGTGATTGTGCGCCTAATCTCAAAGCGTCCAATTCCTTTGTCCACCTGGCATGCCACGTTTGGTGCCTATATATCTTTTTCTATCCACACTGATTTTTTATTTTCTCCTTTCTCTTTTTCGTGTTCTTCTTTTTTGGTTTTTAACACTTTTGTCCTTCAAACTTTTCATATTTTAACAATTTGACCCCCAAGATTATAATTTTAGTACTCTATTTTCTTAATTTGAAAATTATTCCCACGTACCCTATTTTAAAGAATGAAAAAATCAACTACCGCCTACAATGAGGAAGTAAAAACGCACATTTTAAACTCTAATACAAATCACATAAATTTCTAAATCAAAAGTAAAAAAATAAAAAACATGCAACGACAGAGCAATAAAGACATATAACGCGTCAAAATTATAAATTATAATGGAAGCTTTCCAAATCCATAAAATTTAAGGGGCAAAAATATAATTTTTTTAAAAAAATTATATGGACCCCGTTCATTTCGCCGATTCGAGTTTAGAATTCGAATTTTGTTACAGTAAAAAACTCTCAAAAATAGTCACATTTAATTTTTTTACTACAGTAAGAAATTTTCACATAAAATCACATCTCAACTCGAATTACAAACTCGAATCAACAAAATGAACGGACCATGTTTTGTTCGTTTTGTAGCGAAATGGGCAATTTGGATCACATTTCATTGCCCTTTATTTGAAGAGATATTGAAGTGACGTGGCCTCTTCACCATCAGTACCAAAATATCCAACACCACCCCCTCCCTGGTTGCGCTTTTTCTCTCGCACTTTTTCTCTTTCTCTCTCCTAACCCACTTGCCACGCCCTCACTTTCTCTAACCTACGCTGCACGTACACTACGCCTACCTGGAGACAAAGTTTGAAGAACCCAGTATCACTGCTCTATACGTGACTCTATTGCTATCTTACACCCCTCGGTCCATCCGGCGCACGTTAGCGAGCGTCGGCATCACCATTTATTTTACTCGGAAAATTTAAAAAGAGAAAAAAGAAAAGAAAAAGAAATTGCTTTATCTGTTTAGGTTTAGCATTTCTGAGTTGTTTCCAATTTTCTTTTCTTTTTTTTTTTTTGTTGCATAGAAGGGAAAAAAAAAGGAAAACAAGCCGAAGTTGGATATACACGGATGGTTTCTGCGTCTCGAAACCGGTTCCTGCTCTGCTAACGTGCGCCGCTCGCCGGTGATCCAATCCCGGTCGTTGATTTAGCCGACTTGACGACTCGATCGACGACTGACGACTTGATTTTTTTCGTTCTGCCATTTCAGGATTGTTTTTCTTATGGATGGGTATAAGGTGCGCCGGGGGTGCGTAGGTTAAGTGAGGAGGGAGTTTTACGAGTGTTGGAGATAGTCAATCGCAAGGGATATATATTTGCGTGTGAATTGGGAGGGATGGATTTTGGTCCATCAATGGAGTTTCTGGCTTCGTGCTTAGAGGACGAAACCCTAGTTGTGAACAGGATCGAAGAGAGGAAATTTTACATGGAAGTTCTATAGTATATGCCGTCTTTTTCATGTGAAGTTTGAGCTTTTGGCGTGGGACCGTGGATTAGTAAGTTTACCGGTTTTGCTATGGAGCGTAAGGAGCTGAATTTGAACAAAGACTGCGACGGCGGCGATGGCTGCGGCGGCGGAGGCGGCGGCGGTGGCCGTGGCGATGGCTTCATCGACAGGAGCAAAGTGCGGATATTGCTTTGCGATAACGATGCGGATAGTTCGAAAGAGATTGTCACGCTTCTTTTGAAATGTTCCTATCAAGGTACATATTAGTGATATTCTTAGTTTAAAATTTCCTTCTTCGGCGAGTTTTTGTTGTATTTCTGTGTTAAAATTAATTTGTTTTTGCGTATCTTGAAAATTTTAGTGTAATTGTGTACTTTGGAGTACGGTAAAGTTTATCCTTATTTGGCTGTTAAGTGTTTAGAAAGTTAAATTGAATTCTGGATAACGAAGGGAAAAAAGAAGAAAAAGTTCTTCATTTCGCATTCTTCTATTACTTTTTTTTTTTAAAAGACAAGCTTTTTACTTGTTTGATTGCAATTACTATATATATATATATATAGACACACACACACACACACACACATTTGGATAGTTGCAATTTTTTATGCTGATTACTAGCTGTTACCGATATTTCATGATAATAGTGGATAATTTCCCAATACGAATGCTTGTTTGTTGTTTCTTTCCTTTGGTAAATCTTTCCTGGTTGGATTGTTAGTTCTGTATATCCATTTTGATGAGTAGTTCTATCTGGTTATTTGCTAACTAAGTGGGAAAATTGTTAGATTGCGTTGGTGAATTAAGTTTACAATTTCTATTAATCCTGTCGCTGATGGTTCTCTTAATTTCTTTGCTCTACAGTGATTTGTGTGAGATCTGCTAGGCAGGTGATTGATGCACTGAATGCAGAGGGACCTGATATAGATATCATACTTGCTGATCTTGACCTTCCACTGGCGAAAGGCATGAAAATGCTGAAGTACATCACCAGGGACAAAGATTTGCGACGCATTCCTGTGATAAGTAAGATTTCTTGTTCTTCTGTTGTAATTGCCTCATATTTTCCATATGTTGAAATTTATCTCATGGAGGTGTAGCATGCATGAATCCTCATTATAGAACTTTTTTTGCTTCATTAGTGATGTCGGCACAAGATGAGATCTCTATTGTTGTTAAGTGCTTGAGGCTTGGAGCTGCAGACTATCTTGTAAAGCCTTTGCGAACTAATGAACTTTTGAACTTGTGGACACACATGTGGAGGCGAAGGCGCATGGTCTGTTCACATAATTTAATGCCTTTCGTTTCACCTTTTTTTTGTGCTGCAATTTTTGGTTACCTCTTTTAGCCATAATCTCTCTTCTTCCCCTTCCCCAGCTTTATAGAATTTGAGCTGATTGCATAGATACAATGCTGATGCCGGGAACAAACAAAGTATAGTGATCCTTTGAAATATACGATGTTTTTAAACCGATACTTCCTAATATGGGTTTTCTTCTGACTCATGTTCTAGTTAACTCAGAGAAGCAAATATCAGTAGTGCTTGGTCTATCTAACATGAAGCTCAAGGTGGCCCCTATTGATTCCAAGGGCCATCTTTCCACGTGGGACATGACTTTTCTAAAGGCCTTCTCTGAGAAACATTCATGGATCGTTTGGTTCACTCATTTAAGTCGGTGATTTTGATTTTGAATTCAAATTTTGTGAGAAAACCGTTGGCGGAACATTTTTTATTCAAATTTTTTGCGAGAGAAAAGTACTGTAGTAGAATTTGAATCATGATTTCAAACTTGTGAACCAAACGGGCCCTTGGGGGGGAGGGGGGGAGACAGCTTTAGTGGTAGCCAGATTATCTTTTCACGTCAGTTTTAATATGCTTTTGTGTCTTTGGCAGCTTGGACTAGCAGAGAAGAACATCTTGAACTATGAGTTTGATCTGGTAGTGTCAGACCCTAGTGATGCTAATACAAATAGTACTACCTTGTTCTCGGATGACACGGATGACAAGTCACGCAAGGCCACCAATCAAGAGGCTGGAATGTCAGTTCACCAGGAAGATGAGGAAGTGAGTGTACAAGCAAGATGAAATCCTAACTCATATATATAGTCTCAAACTTTGATCATTAGATTTTGATGAAAATTATAATGATTGCACTGATTTTTGGACATTTAATATGAACCATTTCATTCAGAATATGAAAAAATTATTTGATGTGTTTTAAGCTTTCTGGGTCTTGATGTGTTTTAAGCTTTCTGGGTCTTGATGTTTCTTATGGGTAACGTTTTTGGGAAGTTTTCAAGCTCAGCATTGTGATGCATGGAAAAATATCCAAGTAGACATGTGTGTGTGTGTGTGTGTGTGTGTGTGTGTGTGTATTTTTTTTTTCCTTTTCTTGTATGCTTACGCATCTTTAGCTTGCATTCTTATCTAGCATTTGAGACGTCAGCTCTATACTTTATTAGACTATCAGCAGCTGTTGCTCCCCATCTGTAAATAATAACCTGTTCCAAATGTTCTTTATGCCAGTTTTATAACTATCTAACAAACACATTGTATGGTAGATTGAGATTTAGTCGTTGGACATAAGAAAGTACTTAATACTGATCATTTATAGCACTTCATAATCAACTGCAGGAGATTACGTCTGTGTGTGTGTGTGTGTTTTTTTTAGTAGTTTAACATTCTCATTTTATATTATTTTTTATATCTCTGAATTTTCAAAAGAGTATGTTTGTGTTTGTTTTTTTTTTTTTTTTTTTTTTTTTTTTTTTTTTTTGCCTCTGTGTGTTTTTGGTCATGAGAAAACTAATCATGTGAGCCATTTCATCGTAGGACAATCAGAGGTTTAATTTATCTTTCCCACTCCTCCTTGTGATGTTGCATCTTTTAAGAAAATTATCAATCATCAATATTCATTTTGTCTATACGTTTATATGTCTTTTGGTCCTAGTCTGCTGCTGCTACTGCTGTTACTGCTGTAGAGCCTCGTAATAATTTAGTGGAACGCCGGTTTGATATGCAAGGAAATAGCAACCATCAAACAGGTCAGCCAACCATCACCCTGTTGCTGTTTTTGCCAATGTTTATACGTCTTTTAACCATTAAATTTCACTGTATTTGAATGACGTGAGTTGTGACTTATCAGTCTTGGTATGAATAGCATATGTGAAACAATTTTCAACTACAAGGTATATAAATTCAGCAAATAAATAAATAAATAAATAATAAAACCCACTAGGCATATAAGGTGTCAAGGGTCATTTCTAATATACAGTTGGTTCTGTACTTTTCTTGAAGCTGTAGGGTTATATGCAGTTTCCATTGTTTTCCATTTTTGCTTCATAGTAGAGAATTTGAATTATATAGCTTATGTGTGACGTGGATTCACAAAATTTATCATGATTTACACGATGGCTATACATAAAAGTTTAATCATCAAGTCAATGTGATTATTTATCAGGAATGCAATAATCATTTATAATCAATGTGATTTTTCGTTAAAAAATAACTCAATACTGTAAAGGTGAAGAATTTGGGATTAACGTCATTTTCCTTTCGTAGTATCACAAGCTTTGAATATCAGAAATTGGTTTCACCTCATGATATCAAGAATACGATAGACCATTTGGGTTTACTGATTTTAGTTTAGCTCAATGTCTTCGAGGAAGCATTATAAATACTAAATTCTTTTGTTTTATGCGCTTGACTCAGGAAATCTTCTATATATGTGTTTGTGTTGCTTTTGTACATCTATACGTCCATCTATGTACTCATACATGTATCCCATACATTTCATTATTGACAAATCACCCTGCAGGTCAATTTTCATCTGGCCCAAGGAAGAGTGAACTAAAGATTGGCGAGTCATCTGCTTTTTTTACCTACGTCAAATCGAGCATCATAAAAAACAACTCCCAAGCAGTTTCCCATGTCGAAGCTAATGCTGCTCAACATTTAAGACTTGAGGAGAAACGCCAAGCATTTGGAAACCCAGTGGTTGAAGATACCCAAGTACATGAAAATGGAGAGGTATGGGAAAGCTATTCACAAGGAGATGATTTGCCAAGCAGTACTAGCATCCCCGATTCTCTTTCTATGGAGAGGTCTTGCACCCCACCTGCTCCAAGGGAACTTCCTAATGAAAATAATTTCATGAAAGACAGATTCTCGAACGCGCAAGTTCATCCAAGAAACGGAACTCAAAATGAGGATTCTGGCTTACCTGCTCAAGCTGCTTATCCATATTGTATGTCAGGGGTTGTTAATCAGGTTATGATTACATCATCAGGACAAGTGTGTCAAAAGGATCTTCTTGAGATGCAAAATCATGCTACCTCGGTAATGATGCCACAATACAATCATCTTCCACAATGTCCTCCTCATTTAACTGGTATGACTTCGTTCCCATATTACCCTGTCAGTATATGCTTACAACCGGGTCAAATGCCTACTGCTCATACATGGCAATCTTTTGGAAGTTCATCTTCCTCTGAAGTTAAATTGAATAATAAAGTTGATAGAAGGGAAGCTGCGTTGATAAAATTCAGGCAAAAAAGAAAGGAGCGCTGTTTTGATAAAAAGATAAGATATGTAAATCGAAAACGACTTGCTGAAAGGAGGCCTCGTGTTCGGGGCCAGTTTGTGAGGAAGGTTAATGGCGTAAATGTGGATCTTAATGGGCAACCAGCTTCCGCTGATTATGATGAAGATGAAGAGGATGATGAGGCGCTTGCGTCTATGGATTCCACTCCTGAAGATTGTGGGTCTGGGTACTAGTATCATGTTGTTGGTTGTTGTGGGAGGATGCTTCTAATAATAAGATGCGAGACTTCCTTCGCTGTCTTTTAACTATCTTATGGAGTTTCTGCATCTTTACCTGCTCTCCATAATGGGTTATTGGGAACTGTTGCCGCATATAAATATGGAGAAAATGCATCATTGAGTGGGGACTCTGTTCAATGTGGAATTTTGTTTCTAAGCAAGAAGGAAATCAATAACTTGGGGCATAGCAAGTTTTGGAATGACTCAATAGGTGATGCACCTGGTTGAGTTATTTATAGCAGGTGAAGTCCTTCAATGAGATCTTCCCCACGAAATGTTGTATGCCGCACTTATTGTACATGCTGGGGTTGCTATCAGTTTGTCCGAGAATCATTTTCATGTTCAATATCAAAGCAAGTACATGGGTTAGTCTTCCAGCTTTTTAATGATGAACCATTGCGATTTCGTAAATGCAGAGAATTTTATGAGAATTTTGTGTTGTATGGAAATTCCCTGAAATGAAAAATGTCGTCGAATTTAAGCTTCTGTTTTATCTCCTTGTCTTTAGCTGTATGAAAATTGCACGCACACAGGCATGCTTGCACACGTTGGTTTATTCTATTTAGAACGGAGAAATTATGTCTTATTGGGAGGAATGCATATAGGAGTTAAGCTCATATGTCCACTTATTCATGTCTTCCTAATAAGATCATGACATATCGGCTAATTGTCATGATTTTTTAATTGACGTGATATGAAATTTTAATTGAGGTGACATGATATTATTTGAGGGACATAGAGGACACCAATAAGGGGACATACAAGTTGATTCCTGCAGTAGTTGCAGATAGTTACTTTACCTTATAGAATGCGTACGTTTAGATATGTATTCTAGGCTGGTTCTTTACACTTCTTGCACACTTTTCTGAATGGGATCTCTAGGATGGATATGAAGATAAAAGTCATGTGACCATGTTGCAATTCTTAGAATTTTGGAAACGAAGTTGGGTTGGACGTATGGTTAGACGTTTCCGCCCAATGTTAATTGAATTGTTTGTTATATGCTCAATCGATTTGATCCTCTATTGCACCTCAAAAGTTCAATTTCACCTATTTCCCTTTTTCTTGATTTCCATTTTTGTTTTCCATATTTCCCACCCTAAGCTATTTTCTCTCTATTTTTTCACGCTTTTTCCTTCACTAATTTTTATCATAAAGTCACTTTATTTTCAATAATTTATTTACGTCGGTAGCCAACTAAAGTAATTTAGGGTATTTAACTTTATATGTTTATCTTTTTTTTTTTTTTGTTTATAGATGACCTTTTAGAGCTTTTCTAGTCTCTTAAGAGAGTGAGAAATATTTTGTTGCCCATTGATCAAATATTACAAACTTCATTTAACCTAAATATTATTTAATTGAGGATACTTTATAATTATATTTATATAAACAGTATTTGTTTTAGGGTTATGTAAGTGCAATAGAGCATTATAACCAAGTAATATTACAAATTTTAAGTTACTATTAGTTTGAAAATTTTATTTTAGCATCTTCACTAGGCCAAATTTGTGGATGATGTAATAAGTAGGGTCTCTCTTGCCAAATGCCAATATAGCTCAAACAGAACCACAGAGAAAAAAGAAATAAATTGGGAACTATCTCACACTCAACTGGCATTCAGCCAAAAGAAAAAAAAAATCAGCAAAAAATGGCGAAGTACAAAATATAGACCAATCAGAGAATAGAAAAAGTCGAGACAAGGAAAAAATCATTTCCAAGGAGAAGATCACTGACTACTAACTAGTGTGTAAGCTTGAAGTAAATGATAAAAAGAATTGCAAGGACAAGAGCAGCAATTATAGAGCCAATAATCCACTTGTTCCTGCTCATCCTCCTTGACATGGCTGTCAGGACCTTCTTGCTCTTGATGATATTGTCATCTACCCCATGAAGCTGCAAAAAAATGGAGGAATCATCAATAAAGAATACGCTTTACTATCTCACTATCCAATTTACTAAATTTTAGAACGTTTCGAATGCAAATAAAACCTTCATAGAAAAAATCTATGCCAAATAACGGGTAAAGTCGTAAGTTCGGCGACCGTATAATTCGACAAATGTAACTCCTTATATGTATATATAACATCGTTTGTTTATATGTGTTAACTTCTTTCATATATCCGTGTAATACTTAATGTGACGTGTGATGGACTATATTCATGAATGTAGTACTCAATGCTAGTTAATTGTAAAGTTAAAAAAAAAATTACGTGTGCCTTACTGGTCTGGATGCCAGATTTAAGGCAATTCTCCAGATAATACGAACGCTATAAACAACACAAAAATCAAGATACTGCAAAAGAATAAGACTTTACTGTTTTGTGAGCATGAAGTAGAGATTGGCGTTGTTGGTGCAAATCATGGAGGATTGACACACCAAGTTCTTCCGTTTCCAGCATTGTTCTTCTACTCTCCTTGATTCTATCACTAGACTGATTTAATCTCTCCGTTGACATCATCAATCTATCTCTTTGATTACCAGATGCCTGTCCCAGCATTCATCATTTTCAGCTAGAAGTGTGAAAAAGATAGAAAGAAGGTTGACCACAAACAATGGCAATGGTATAGATGTCAACAAGCGAGCAACCTAGTTGAACAATGGATTTAGCGAATAGAACTAGCTTATATAGCAAAGAAAAAGGGCCGATCTCAATCTAAACCATTTTGTGTGCACCTTTTAGTACATGTACAGAAAATACCCAAGGAATTTTAAAAAAAAAAAAAAAAAAAAAAAAAAAAAAAAAAAAAAAAAATCATATTCCGATTGTTCCGCATCAAGAATTTAAGGACAATACTATATTTTGACATAGTTGAATTTGAATTAAATACGGGTGGGCCCACCATATCGGTCTTACATCCCGACTCACTTAGATGAATTTAAGGACAATACTTAACAACGTATCAGATTTTTCTCAGTGCTGACGACGGTGTTAAATTATATGAATTTAATACCACACTTATTAAACCACGAGGTGCCTTACTCCAAGTTATAAAAATATAAGATTAACAAAAAAAAAGAAAGTTATAAAAATGTAAAATAAAAAAAAAAACTATGAATTTAAGTAACTTGGCATCAGTTTCACCTCAAATGGGACCCGTTTAAAAGTCTACACTTTTCTTAAAAAAAAAAAAAAGAGGCTATTCATTGTTAGAAGTTAGAACAATCTAATTCTAATCATGAGCAGTCACAGAGTTGATATTTAACAACAAATTTGACAGATAAAGAAAAAAGAGAAAAACAGCCAACCAATGAGGACCAAAAAAGGAATCTATATATATATATATATATATATATATATATATATCATTATCAAAAGCTGGAAAATGGAAATGAGCAGAAACATCATAGCAAATTAGCAATATATAAATATGTATATGTGTATGTACATGTTATATGACTATACCGATACTCCTTCAGCCATTCCTGACTCGAACAGCTCGTCCCGGGCCGTCAGATTAGCATTTGGCAATGAGATTCGCTTGACTTCGGATTTAAAATTGTCCAAGTCGGCTTTGTATTCTCTAAGCTTCGCGAGAAGCCTCGCCTTCAAACTCGGCTGCAAACTCCTCGCTTCAAGATCCATTTTCTTAATCTGTAAATCAACCAAAATCAAGATCTTCAATCCAAACAAACAAGAAAACAGAAAAAGAAAGAAAGCAAAGATCAAATCAAAATCCATGGAAAATGTACCAAATTATCGGCATCATCTAATCCGGATTTGATCTCCGAAATCCTCTGCTTTCTCTGCTCTGCAAAACGCAATGGAAAATCCAACAATCCAATGAAGTTTTCTGTGATTTTAGGGTTAATTGAATTCCTATTTTGTTACCTCCATTGAGAGCGCTAGCTGCGGTGCATTTCCGCGAGAGATTGGCGGAAATCTCGCAGTACTGTCCCTCGTAGCCCTCGAAAACCTCGCTCATTGTTCCCGATTTTCTTCTCCGACCGACCTGAACAAATCTACAAATTGAAGAATTCGATTTCCCAGATTCGGATGATTAATGATTGTTAGAATTGATTCTTAAAAAAATTGAGAGTCTTTCTGCTAAGATCGTGAAATATTCGAGAGATTAAGGTGAATGCGTGGATCGGGATCGGACCGGCGACGGAGATTGATCGGAGGACGATCTTGGAGACGAATTTGGGGATTTTGAAGGATTTAAATGCGTAATTGGGTACGAAGCTTCGTCGATGTTTTGCTATTGTTGGTGTGCCGTAAACATAAAGATGACAAAGCCCCTGAATTTCGGTTAAATTACAGATAGATCACCCACGAGAAACACGTGCGCGTGATTTCATTTCAGTTTCTGACAAGCACGTGTCGTTTTGTTTCGCAGGTCAAAATGTCGTTTGTCTGGTCATAGGATCTCAGAAATCAGAAACGGAAAGATCAAAAAGAGCCCAAGTTTTCTTCAACAATTGTTTTGCATGTCACCTGTTCGATGAAATTACTGAATGAAAGATTGTGAATTTCGTGTTCAAATCAGAATTTCTGTTTTTCAGTTGTAGACGGGTAGGTCTTTCAGAAATCAAAAACTTAGAAAAAGCTTTATAAAGTGCAGTGCATATCAACTGTTTGATGAAATTACTGAATGAGTTATTATGTATTTGATATCCAAATCAAGATGGCATTACTTCTTATTAAGGAGCTTCACTGCTCAAAAGTTCAGGCAATTGTCGTGCCTTCCTAACTCAAATTTGTCATCCGCTTCTCGGCTGCAAGAGCTATGCACGATTGTTTCGAGGACCATTGGTGGTCTCGATGATTTGGAGTCAAGTCTGAGTGATTTCAGAGGCTCTTTGACGTCGTCGCTTGTGACCCAAGTCATCGATTCTTGCAAAACCGAAGCGCCCACTCGGAGATTGCTCAGGTTCTTCTTGTGGTCCCACAAGAACTTGAAGTGTGATTTGGAGGACAAGGATTATAACCACGCGATACGGGTGTTTGCAGGGAAGAAGGATCACACTGCACTAGAGATATTGGTTTCGGATCTTAAGAAGGGGGGCCGGGCGTTGGAGAGCCAGACATATGCTATTGTAGCCGAGACGTTAGTTAAGTTGGGGAGAGAAGATGAGGCATTGGGTATTTTCAAGAACTCGGACAAGTACAAATGCCCGCAAAATAGTTTCACAGTCACGGCCGTTGTCAACGCTCTTTGTGCCCAAGGACACGCGAAGAGAGCTGAAGGGGTTGTTGGGCACCACAAGGATAGGATTTCCGGTATGGAGCGTTGCATTTATAGGAGTCTTCTTTATGGGTGGTCCGAGCAGGAGAATGTGAAGGAAGCACGGAGAATTATCAAAGAGATGAAGTCAGCTGGGATAAATCCGGATTTGTTCTGCTACAACACATTTCTCAGGTGTCTGTGTGAAAGAAACCTTAAACGCAATCCTTCAGGTCTTGTGCCTGAGGCTTTGAATGTGATGATGGAAATGAGGTCCTACATGATCACACCGAACTCGATCAGTTACAATATATTGCTATCTTGTCTGGGAAGGGCAAGAAGAGTTAAGGAAGCTTGTCAAATTCTCGAGAGAATGAAGCAAGCGGGTTGTTCTCCAGATTGGATGAGTTATTATCTAGTTATAAGAGTTTTGTATTTGACCATGAGGTTTGGCAAAGGAAATAAGCTAGTGGATGAGATGATAGGAGAAGGGTTGGTCCCAAATTGTAAGTTCTACTATGATTTGATTGGTGTTCTTTGTGGAGTTGAGAGACCATATTATGCTCTTGAGTTATTTGAGCATATGAAGAAAAGATCATTGGGTGGTTATGGACCAGTTTACGATGTGCTCATACCAAAGCTTTGTAGAGGAGGGGACTTTGAAAAGGGTAGAGAGCTTTGGATTGAGGCCATGAATATGGGCGTTGATTTTTGCTGCTCGAGCGATGTTTTAGACCCATCAATCACCAAGGTTTTCAAGCCAACTAGGAAAGAGGAAGAGAAAATAAGCCAGGAGGAATCCACCTCATCCGAAAATAAAAACAAGAAGAAGATCAATAGCGGTACAAAGAAAGTAGGATTCACCTATGACAAAGACAATAACAAGGAGAAGAAGATTACTATGAATAAAAAGAATGTGCGAAAATCATACAAGAAAAAGAACAAGAAGAAGCTGATTGCTAGCAAGAAAAAGAATAAGTCCGGTGCGGCTTAAATTGGCAGCTTTATTTCATGAAAATGCAAATAGCAACTGCATTGCTAAATATCCAGAATTCCTTTGTCCAAACGAAATGGATTTGGCTGTTTTTTATTACTTGGTCTTGATTATATCAAATAAACCATGGTTTTGAAGATGAAGCTTTAAGAAAATACCGAACTCGAGGAGAAATGTTTGGACGAGGTATGATGTCGTTTTTTTTTTTTCTTTTTTTTTTTTAACTTTTTATTTTGTGCCGACCCTCCTCCTTTGAGATGAACTGAACACCTGTTAATATTATATATTGGTTGCTGAATCGGTGGTGTTGTTTAGCCGGCAAATGCATACAAGATCTCTGTACCACTTTTTCACCTATTGGATGAAAAGTTCAAAAGAAGCTTGCTAAATCACAATGTAAATCTCTTTTCACAATTCCCTTTTTCTTGTTATTGTGTGGACTGTTATGCTTTCATGTATCTAGTTGATAAAAATCTCAATCCTCAGACCTCATGCTCACTGAAAAAAAAAAAAAAAAAAAAAAAATCCCACATTTTGAAAGGAACTATGGTCAAAAGATAAAAACTGCACTTTTGATTTTCAATACTGGTTTCTTCAGTCAAATTTGTGTAGTGACTAGATACCTATTTATCAAATAAACATGATTTGCATAATGAATAGTGGTTGGGTTGAGTTTATGAAGCTCTCAAATGTTGGACCAGTGTTTATTGAAGTCCCAAACAAAGAGTCTGGTAAAAGGTAAATCCTGGCCTCCTAGAACTGCGTCACATAAACATGCTCCTCCTGCCCACAATTGCCGTTCCTAGCGTACTTGCTGTGACAGCTCTGAGAAACCCAATTTGTCAATCCGATTTCCCTTTACCTTCTGTCTCTTTCATTTGTTGCATCCAAATATAACTTCACACAAATAGTTGCGTTTTACATGATGTTCCCTAGGTTTTACATTGCACGTCATGCTAAAACTATCGTTTTCGTTTTACAAGTCGTGTTACAAGCCTCCTCTAATCCCCTTAAAAGTTGTGTTGCTGAAATTTTTGATGAGATTTGTAAAACAAAAGAGATAAGGGCAACATTCCTAAAAATATAGGGTGGAGCGCACCATTTTTGGGACTCTAGATCTCTCTTTTTTTTTTTCCTTTTCTTTTTTTTTTTTTTTTCCGGTGGGGTAAGGCTTGATCTTAACCTCGCAGGCACAACAAAAGACTCTTATTAATGAGAGTCTGAAACACACCATTTGTTTTGTATACAAAGAGAGATTAATGGGAAGAGCACTCCTATGAATAACTCCCGTTATTCATATGACTATGAGGTGAGTCGCGTTAGATGCTCAGTGAGATTTATTATTTTATGAGTAATGAGGTTTTATTCTCAATTAACATTTTTATAATGAGAATCAATGGAAGGTGCTGCTGCCATCAATTAATTTCAAGGACAGAGCTGAAATTTGGCACATGGCCACATGGGCATGAAGGGGTTGACATGGTTCCTGAAAAGGGATCTTGTCGGGCCCCTATACTTTCAACTCATATCAACTCACATTTGAGAACTATATACATTAGACGCGTTTGGAACTCATTTTAAAATAATTTTATTTTTTTGTATGAAAATGAAAATAAAAAAATTTTTAATCTCAGACATAAATTATTTTTAAAAATGTGTTTAGTAGTTTTATTAAGAGATTATTTTTAATATAAAAAAATTCATTAATGTCTCTCTTTATCACTCTCTGCTCGAGAGAGAAGAAAACGAAAACAAAAAATGCAAAATGATTAAAAGTCATTTTTCATTTCTCTCTCATTTTATACTAAACTAAAAAATCATTTTCGTTTCATTTTTTGTCTTTATTGCGCCAAACGCCGTTTTAAAAACGTTTTTATTTATTTTTTCTCAAAAAATGTGAAAAACAAAAACATAATTAATTTCAAACATGGCCATTGTCACTAGGGAGTGCTTTCCACACGCTTGGCCTTTCAATGGATCTATACTACTCTAATTGTAAGTACTTCTAAAGAAAATACTAAGGTCCAAAGCAATATAATAATAAAGTTTCATGATGATATTTAAGACTCGTTTAACTCATGAGTTTAAATTAGTGATTTGATTCTGTATTTAAATTTTGTGAGAGTCACTCACAGTGAGTTAATTTCTTTAAAAAAAAACTTTTTAAATTTAAATTTTTTGGGAAAGAAAACATAATAACAAAATTAAAATTATGAATACCTTGGATTATTGTTTTTATGGTTTACCAGTGTCGTATGTAGTAGGGACAATATGTTTTATACAAGTAGTAATGAGAAGGAAAAAGAAAAAGGAAAAGCCAACTTTTTTTCTCTCTTGTTTAGAGGAAGCTTCTGGCTTGGTCAGTTGCCTAATGAGAAAAAGGCTGAGATTCACGCGTCAAAGCCAGGCGTGCATGAAGTGCAAGACAGACCATAAGAGGTCCATTACAACTTTTGTCTCCATGGACTTGTATTGGAACAAATCTAAAAAACTTTCCTATCGAGAAGCTCGTGTGGAGATTGGAAGAGAAGAAGATTGTGTGCTGGAGGAGAAGAAAATATTGGCATTTTTCAAATTATTTTAAAATTAAAAAGTTTATTTTTACAACTTTAAAGCTTAATAATAGTGATAAAAAAATTAATATAGTATTTAAAATAATATTATACATTTTTTTATAATCAATCGGCAATGAAAATTCGTTAAATAGCCACTAAAGGACTAGAATACATGAAAAATCCAAAGTCATAAAAATGGATGTCATTCACACAGTTAGACAATATAAGCGCACCCTTAACCCAATAAGGGAGATGACTCCACTAATAAGTGGCACGATAACATGATTCTACCACACAGAATAAACTCAAGATGAGCCACATCCTAGTCCCAAAATGGATCCAAACCACACAATACAAACTAAGAGCGGTGGAGAAACCACCATCTAGCTGAGATAAAACGCTGGTAGATAGAGAAACCATCACTGTTATTACAACACTAACATAAATAAAAAATATAAAAACTATAAAAACTTTACAAAAATCCCAAAAAACAATCCCTCAAACGCTGAAAATATGTGAAACATGGCTGGACTGGCGCCAGAAAAAAGCACCTGAAACAACAATGGAAGTGTTGGAAATACAACGACGCATGGGTCTCATGCATCGTTGTTGACAGACGACCATTGCCACACACGCCGGTCCATCTTCCTCACCTCCCTTCCGTGACCACTAACGCATCTTATTTCTACAGTAGAAGAACGACGACTTCTTCCCCTTGAACGACTACATTCTGGTGACTACTCACACTTCTGTCGGCATGAACTCAACATCAGTGACCTCTGGATCTTCCCAAAAAATTTTAGAGGCTGGCAACCCGCCTAAAATGCTGGACCGCCGACCTCAGAATGATAAACACAAAAAAATTAGTTAAAAAACAATTTAAATTTTTTACATATGACATATTTTATTGATTAGATACCAATTAAAATACTAAAATTGGACATCAAATTTGAGTACATATTGGAGATGCTCTGATAAGGTAAATATCAAGTTATTTATGCCTCGTTCATTTCACCGATTCGAGTTTTTAGTTTTAGGTTTCTACAGTAAAAACCTCTCCGAAAATGTCACATTTAACGTTTTCTGCTACAGTGAAAAGCTCTCAGAAAATGTCACATCTCAACTTGAATTGAAAACTCAAATCCGCGAAGTGAACGGGGCCTAATATCTAAGGGCTTGTTCTTTTAGAGTTTAACTTGAGTATAATTTTTGAGTTGAATTTGAGTTATAACTTAAGTTGAACTTGTAACTTGAGTTTGTGTTTGGTTGTGTACATTTGAGTTATGGTTTGAGATAAGAATCTTTTTGAGTTTGTGTTTGAGTGAGTCAAAACTTGAATTTGTATTTATATAGTATTTTAATAAAAACTCAATGCTGATGAAAAATTTTAATAGGGTATATGGGTCGGGTTTTATTCGTTTTTTCATTATCAACGCATAAAAAAAAAGCATCTCAATCAGAATTAAAACGGAAAAATTATAGCATTTTTAAGAATAGAAAAAATACTGTTTATTAATTTGAGTTCAAGTTTCTGAACTCGAGTTGAAGGGGAAACTTGAACTTGAGTTTTAGTCCTAAACTCAAGTTTGAACTCGAGTTTAAACTCGAGTTTAAACTTAAAAGAATATGAACTCGAATAAAGTTGTAACTCGGATTGTTTTTTTTTTTTTTTGAATTTTTCATTCAAAAGAACAAGGTCTAAATTTCACGACTTTGTACGTGCCACATATAAATTTTGCTTTTATTATTATTTTTTTGTTCAATTCTAATAATTGACTAGAATTCAAATTTTCATACATGTTAAACAATTAGTACTAGGATCAGACAACTTAAAATTAAGTAATTAATTAATGAGTACGATCACATAAACAAGCATTATAATAAATAACAATCGGTGTTGATTAGCAAAATAAATAATAATAATAATAATAATAAATAAATAACAATCGGTGTTGGGAGACACCATTTCTCCCTCGTCTCTCTCGCTTCATTCTCAAGCACTACCCCATCAAAACCCACCATTTCCATGGCCGAATCCAAGCTCCGATCTTATTCCCAAACTTCCTAAACACTCTCATCACTTCCTTCATTCACTACACAAACTTCTTCGAAGCTTCCAATATCTAGAGAGAGCGAGAGAGAGAGAGAGAGATGGGCCAAGAGAGCTTCTCAGCTCAGAAGAGAACCGGAGGGATTGCTCTCCCGACGACAACGACCAACGCTTCTTCAGCCCCCAACGGCAGACGATTCGGCGCCGCCTTACCCCGCGGCCGCCAGATCCAGAAGACCTTCAACAATATCAAGATTACCATCCTCTGCGGCTTCGTCACCATCCTCGTCCTCCGCGGCACCATCGGCGTCGGAAGCCTTGGCGGGGCCGACAACGACGCCGCCAACCGCGAGATCATCGAGGAGACCAACCGGATCCTCGCCGAGATCCGCTCCGACGGCGACCCCAACGATCCCGACGACCTTGCCGAGTCCGAGATCAACCCTAACGCGACATACACGCTCGGGCCAAAGATCGCGCATTGGGATCAGGAGAGGAGAAATTGGCTCGATTCGAATCCGGAGTTTCCGAATTTTGTTAATGGTAAGCCTCGGATCTTGCTCGTTACTGGTTCGCCTCCTAAGCCTTGTGATAATCCGATTGGTGATCATTACTTGTTGAAAGCGATTAAGAACAAGATTGATTATTGTAGACTCCATGGGATTGAGATTGTGTATAACATAGCTCATTTGGATAAGGAACTTGCTGGTTATTGGGCGAAATTGCCATTGATTAGGAGGTTAATGTTGTCGCATCCGGAGGTTGAGTGGATTTGGTGGATGGATAGTGATGCTTTGTTTACTGATATGGTGTTTGAGATTCCGCTTAAGAAGTATGATAGTTATAACTTGGTGGTTCATGGGTACCCCGATTTGATGTTCGAGCAGAAATCATGGATTGCGTTGAACACGGGTAGTTTCTTGTTTAGGAATTGTCAGTGGTCTTTGGATTTGCTTGATGCTTGGGCTCCAATGGGTCCCAAGGGTCCAATTCGGGAGGAAGCGGGAAGGATTTTAACTGCGAATCTAAAGGGAAGGCCGGCGTTCGAGGCCGATGATCAGTCGGCTTTGATATACTTGTTGCTTTCGCAGAAGGACCAGTGGATGGGTAAGGGCTTTTTGGAGAATTCGTATTATTTGCACGGATATTGGGCTGGTTTGGTGGATCGGTATGAGGAGATGATAGAGAAGTATCATCCTGGACTGGGCGATGAGAGGTGGCCATTTGTGACTCATTTTGTGGGCTGCAAGCCTTGTGGGAGCTATGGAGATTACCCGGTTGAGAGGTGTTTGAGCAGCATGGAGAGGGCTTTTAATTTCGCCGATAACCAGGTGCTTCAGCTGTATGGGTTTAGGCATAGGGGCTTGTTGAGCCCCAAGATCAAGAGGATTAGGAATGAGACTGTCAATCCTCTGGAGTTTGTCGACAAGTTTGATATTCGACGGCATCCAGTGCACGAGAGCAGGGAATCACAGAGCTAGCGAGTAATTTATACGCCTTCATTATGTGAGATAATCTGTAGGTAATGTTGTAATTCATCAGCTGAAGAGGAGATTTAAGATTTGATAACAGTTCACTTCTTACGTCAGTTTTTATTTGTCCTGTTGTCTTTTTTGCTACTGCTTCTGAGAACAATAGGGTAGAATTCTTTCATAAATTTAATATCATCTTTGTATTGTGATCTGAAGTTATCCATAAAGGATTGGAAATTGTCAAAACGCATTATACTGTCCCATTGAGTTCATATTTGTATCATGTTTTAATGTGCTTATGGATCTAGTTTAACTTTTCATCGCTTTTGGAATCATCTTTGAGTTCAAGCTGGTGTACATTCTGTATAATTACGGAACTATGTGCCCCTTCGTGCGTTAATTTGATGCTGTTTTCTGTCCCTAACCCCCCTCCCAACTTCTCTCTATCATAAGGCAATAGTGAAAGATTACATGGGTGTTTTACTGTGCTGAAGGAATCAATGATAGTCTTATAAATAATTCCAAACGGGATTGAGTAACGAAGTTCCAACTTTGAATTTTTATCATTATAGTATCTGTGCAGTAATGGTGGAAAAAGTAGCAAAAATCCAATTGTATAGATCTTTGGCAGTCTCTGCTTTTGGCTGGATGTTTTTGGCCGTCATGTCAAGACCATGATTCGGGTTCCTACACCTCAAGAGAATTTTCTTTTGAAATGCTACAGATTCTATGGCCGCCCATTATTGCTACACAAACAAATGCAAAACGTCTACACCTGAAAATTGCTAGAACCGGAAATTGTAGGCTTCCAAACTTTTGCCAAGATATCTTTCCATGTCGTTTCTCTTATTGTCTGTATGGCGTCCAAAGCAAGACTCGTACAAACAAAACCAGCAAGTCAATTTTTCACTATCCGACGAAAGACAGAACTAAAAAGGAGAAAGGAATTCTAACTGGTAAAAAAAAAAAAAAAAAAAAAAAAAAAAAAGAAAAAAAAAAAAAAAAGGGGAGAGGCCCTTTGGGGA